GGGACTGCGTCGTGATACTTCTCCCGTGAAGCTAGTTCAAAATTTAAATTCCTTTACTACAGACGAAGTTTATGAATTGAAAGAGAAATTAGAATCTGAAAAGATAGCGCAGTCTGAGTTGGATAAAAGGATTTGTGATCTCGAAGACAGGGTGTTAAATCTTGAGAACAAAACTTGTCCTAGTGACAGTGATGAAGAGTACGAATATTCCAATATAGTTGACTTGTCATTGAACAAAGACAAATCTGTTCCTCCATTTGTGATCTTGCCTGACAAATTAAATCACCCTGTAATTCGACGGCACGAAGTTGATGAGGTAATCCAGACTTTAAATGATCTTAGAGTTATGCACGACGATAAAATCACTTCGGTTTTTATAATTGGGGAACCTTTGTCAGGGAAGACAGAATGTGGCAGGAAGATTGGTGAAGCTCTTTCCAAACACAATTCAATTGTTGCAGTAATTAAGTGTGATACCTATCAAAATTTTACCTCTTCGTTAAAGCAACTCGCTAAAAGACTTGGATACAGTCAGATAAACTTCCCTTCTCTTCACAAGGCATCCGTTGCATCCCAAATTGAAATACTTTCGTTGTTCATAAAGGAAAAAATATCTGGGGAGTCGCCATGGGTAATAATTTTGGACGAAGTGTTGGAGGAAACCAAAGAATTGTTAACTTATCTTCCTCAGCCTGGAGATCTAGGTAATAATACAAACCATTTTTATTTACCTCAAGGCTATATTTCAACGTTTTTACTAGTATTTGTTGTTACCACTACAGTAAATATTCTCACTGACTGGCAATATACATACCCGATTGTATAGTGCTTTGTTTATTAATTGACACCATGTCTTTACAGATTTTTGTCGCCAAGGTTCTTGGACATACACTCCTGAACAAAACATCGGCGACGCTTCTATTTATATGACGCAAATTTAGAAAAACCGACTCACTTGCCCCAACATACCATTCAATGCTAATTGTGTTTCTAGAATGTGCTTAAAAAATTGTAGTATGTCTAACACTGTTTTTGGCGGGCGGGGAGCTAGCTAGGGAAGGGTAAATTATTCCAGTCCAATAGTAGAACAGCCACAGAAGAGTGTGGCTTATGAACTTGGCCAGGATTGTAGAATCTATCGTCGAGCCTCGGCTTTATAGCTAACATGACGTAATATTACTTTCGGTTACATGTATATTTCCAAGGGCAAATCCACGGAGGGAAATATCATCACTAAAGGTTATATTTTTCCAAATCTCCCGTTCAGTGCAAATGAATAAACATTAGAGAGTTTAAGCTTTGCGTTATACGGGAAACGACAAACGCCAGGCAAAGGAAAATTTTACGGTATCAGGCAATAAAGAGTAAATGAACTTGGCACTTGTTGTTTTAAAACTGCAATGCATGACTACTCTTTCGACACAAGAAAGAAAATATGAAATGAAAACGTTCAACGAAAATTTTGCCAAGAAAGTTCGAACCAGCCGTTTGCCGTTACCGGAAACGCGAAGCTTAAACTCCCTAATTAACACTAAGTTGAAAACGTCAACACTTCAATGCTCGAAACAGGTCTCAGGAAATGGTTACAAAGGTTAAAGCTATACTATCTGACACCCCTAGTGTTGAACAGTTGTTACAAGAGTAAGATGGCAATTTTATCTGTTAAGAACGCAGTTCTAGATGCCGTAGTAACACGTCACATGTGGAATGCGCTACCCGGTTATATGACAAGAAATCCACTCTTATTAATATTTTGTAAATCCATTATATTCATAGGTACAGGACAAATCGTTGTCACTACGCATGATCGCTCTTTGGTGACAGATAATCCATGTTCCATTCCAGTGGTTCTCGATAGATTGACTCTAAACGAATCGCTGCAGCTACTTTTCCTACTTGTTGGTAATATCCCGCAAGACTTAGCTCAATTTGTATCAGAAAAATTGGAGTTCCAACCGGCTCTTCTTGTGTCGGCAGCAAAATGCGTGAAGCAACTGTCAGCAAAAAAGAAACAGTCCGTGGTACAAACCTGGAGAGAAAGGTTGGAGAATATAAAGAGTCGGTATAAGGAAGAGGAATGGCCTTACTATATCGCTGCAATGGATGAAACAACGCGCTCCATGTTGGAGTCTGTTATCAAGACGGTTGTGAAACGAAGCAACGTTATCGAAGAATGCTTTCATTTGCTAGTATTGGCAAAGGGATCTTACCTCTCTCGTGACGTTGTCACGAGATTCCTCGCAAGTCAATTGAACATTACGAAGAGAGAAGCTGAGCTCTCACTTCGTGAATCACCACTAATACGTATATGCGGTAATGATGGCCTTGCTATCAGTGGTGTAATTTATAAACTATTGTGTGATCTATTTGCGCCCGTTGTAAGGACCGAACGAATGATCCATCGTTTAAGGAAACTTTGCAAATTTTTCCTGTTAAGCACGCACGACACAGTTGTCGCTAAGGTGTTCAAATTAATGTCTCCAAAGATTATGCAATACTTAGCTTTGCTGGATCTCTGCTTTCCTGACTATGAGGAACTGAGGAGTCTACATCATGAGTTGGGGAAAGCATTCCTGTGTGTTTCGGTGGACTATGGCTCTGCAGTGCGCTGTTTCACAAAGGCAATTTCAATTTTCGAGGGATCAAATGACATTACTCATCCTGAATACGCGCAGTTGTTGAACAGTTTAGGGAACGTTTTACGCTTAACAGGAAGTATGGAGGATGCATGCAAGTATCTGAGCAAGTCATTGAAGCTATTGAAGGAGATATCACGTGGTAATGTCAGCGAGGACATTGCGAGTTGTTTGAGTAGCTTGGGTCTGGTGTGTCTCTCGCAAGGTAATGATAACGTATCAGATGGCCAAATCATAAATACGTCCGATGCAGAGCTGCGCTAACAATTCTGCATAAGTCCGATGCAGAGCGGCGCTAACAATTCTGGCAAAGTCATTGCCGATTTCCATAGGGCCGAATATTAACTATTGTTTCCTAATGTCGAACGTTCACCATTACACGTCCCTAAACTTCTATCTGCACGTAAGCATATTTGTTATTGAAAATACTGTATAATCTATTTTTATTCCAACTATAATGAAAATCTCTGCTAATTAACTAATCGAAAATTCCCACTTAGATAATTGGAATTCTGCCATAGAAACAGATGAGTTCGAAAAGATCATCCTCCCCAAAATATTTCCTCATAATTATTAATATCCTCATAACGACCCCTCTGATTTCGCTTACTACAGTATATGGTAGTTAAGTTATTGATGTGTGAATATTGGTGAAACATAGAGGATTTTGCCCAATAATCATATAAATATTGCCTGTACAGGCCATACTTGCGTACAAATTTCATCTCGTATCAGTAATAATTAATTAGCAAGTTAGCAAACAGTAGTTTATGGTTTCTTTATACAGCCAATTCAAAAAAGGTTGTCCTTTGCAAACCTTAAACTCTAAACCTTAAATCTTAAACACTAAGCGCGCAAGGCTTAATGGGAACACAAGTTTCAAGCTTGGTAGTTGAATATTTGCGCTATTTGTGAATGAATTGCTCTCGTCAGGCGAATTATCCTGCGCGCAATGCAAAATGTAAACAAGACACGTTTTATAGATTTTGCATTATAAACTGTGTAAGCTGAATTCAGTTGTAGTAACTTCCAATATATATTTTACATTCGTACTTCAGCATTCAGTTTACTTCAGGCTATTATTGCCACACATGTTAGTATTTATTTCCGGAAAATTCAAATATTTCCCGCTAAGGATAATGATAATTAATGGTATAATAGTCTTTATATGAGTACCTGAATAGACCCAAGTTTACATCAAGTGTCCCAACAAATCCAAATATGTACCATAAATAAAAGTCGCGGTTACCAAGCCTCCAACGGAAAGTGATCCCCCAAACATTTCTGCTGTGCGCGTGCCATGGAGAGTGCGTGCAATGGCACGCCATGCGTAGGATATTGATCTAGTGCTAGGAATGATCAAAATTTAAATAACATGACTTTAAGTATTGATAAATGAGATGTCATATCAAACCGATAAATTCAAACTTTAAAGACCATGTAAAGTCCGTTCTGCGCATACGCTCTGCGCAGGCTTACATTGCAATGGTCGGGACCCGATCGTTGGAATGTTATTAATATTTCATATCTTTTGAACTTTCTTGAATTGAATCTCTAGTCTGTATTCATTTACAAGCATAGTGAACCAGAAGAGTGTTAAAATTTCAGTATAATATCTATCTAATCATATTTTACAACTGTTGCACTGAGTTTAAAATGTAAACAAAGCGTTTGTTTACATTACGGACTTTACATGGTCTTTAACGGATATCCAGTAAAGTCCTGATAGTCCTGAAAATTCGAGTGTAATTTTTTCCATACATTTATTAGAACTAACCTGGATAATCAACTGAGCTACAGACTTCGGTTGTCGAGTATATTATATATGAACTTGGCGTTAGAGTTGGACAACCGGGCTTTGTATCCCCGCTGGTTAGAGCGCTGCACAGGAATCGTATGGCAGCCGGTTCGATTCCCACAAGATGGCATATAGTTAAATTTTTCACAACTGCCCCTGGTTACAAAACCCTGCTACAATTAATTCAATCTAGTAAGATGATCAAAATCGTGATAGCAATTCATCATTTTCCCTGTTTCATTTTAGGTGACCTGGATCGTGCTCGAGAGTTGCACCATCGTGCGCTAGCAATCCGTGAACAGCTCCACGGCAACGATCATATCGCGACAGCAACGAGCCTCAACAACATCGGTGGTGTATATCACGAGCGAGGCGATTTGGCGACCGCGAAGAATTACTATTGGCAAGCCCTTGAGATAAAAGGCCGAAATTATGGTTGGGATTTTCCTCATATGGCCAACAGCTTCAACAATATCGCCGAGATTTCACACGAGCAAGGTGACCTATGTGGGGCAATATCTATCCACAAACGCGCTTTGAAGATTCGTCAGCGTCTCTATGGCGACGATCACCCGGATATTGCTGACAGCTTGAATAATATCGGGGTAATATACCACAAGCGTGAGGAACTATCTGCCGCTCGGAAGTATCACACCAGGGCTCTAGGTATACGAAAGAAGGTCTATGGGGAGGACCATTTAGAAGTCGCATGCTCGCTAAACAGCCTTGGTGAAGTTTGCTATGACGAAGGTACAGTATTTGCGTTTGTATTTGGTAATAATTAAACAAGTTTGTCTCTCAACCGTCCAGAAGACATGAAATGGTTAATTTTCTTACAGCGACTGATAATGAAATTAATTGATACTCATAGTAATCTACAATAACTTAATGGGCAATGAGTTGGAATGATTTCTGTGCTTCTCGTGTGCTTGAAAAGGAAAGCAAGCTAGGAAACGTAAATGAACAATCTACAAAGGCTGTGTGAGGCATCTTTCCACCCTGTCAGTCGCGTTTATCTTGCTCGCGGTTCCTATGATTTTATCCTCATTTAGGATGCAATGTCATTAAATAAGAGTTTTGAAATGTAGTCCGGCCGCTCAGCACGTTGCATGCATTGTTAGTTGCAACGTCTTACAATTCCATATAACCTGCTAGGTTTATAAGTTTACGCACATAGAATGGCGCTAATACTAACCATGTACAATCCCAGTAAGTCATTACCAAAGCCTGGGTGCATCCTGAAGAAATTTCCCAAGTTTCCCGTCAAACATAGAGGAATACGACGACATTCCTAACATCGTGAAATTAACAGATTGGGAATAGCGATATTTGATTGGTCCGCGAGAAATTATGCTGAGATGAGCTAATAAGTGTTTGATATCTTGGTAGTGAAACTAGGTGTATTGCTAAACTTTTTGACATGAAATCATGACAAGATTTTTCGCCATATTTGTTTTGTTTTGAAGCATTCTGTGACTTGAGGACTGCTTTAAACTGATTGGTTGATTTTATCATCACATTGTCTTTCCACCATTAGATCAGTTTGTTAAAATTACAGAAAATTGCACTGTGATCACAGAAAATTTCACTGTGATTACAGAAAATTACAGTGTGATTACAAATTTTGCTCTGCTATTTGAGACTAACTGCACTGAAATCAACCAATCACAGTCGAGCACTATTTTTATGTATATTATTATGTCGGAAACAATGGATTAATAAGGATGTGACTACCTGAAAAATACAAGGAGACCCTTGGCGAGGAGTTCTCCTTGTTCTCTTCAGGTAGTTGCATCCCTATCAATCCGAAGTTTTCTTATTATTAGCATTACCTACACTGGCACAGATCGTTCTTGATAATGTCACTCGTTTCAGTTATTTCACCTGTACTGTTATGACCTTGTTAGGTGACCTGGCAGCCGCTGAAGAGAATCATATCCAGGCACTACGCATTCGACAGCGATATTCGGTGACGTCATGGCATGCTGAGGTCATCACAAGCTTGCATAACCTGATGATGGTGTACATTGCTGATCAAAAGATTTCCATAGCAACGGATTATGCTTACGAAGTCTTCAAGGTTTGTCAAAAAATCCACGGTATGCGGGATGCCAGGACTGTGGAAGCTTTCAGGAAGTTGACTGAACTCTCGAAACGTTCATCTCAAGGACGGGGCTTTGATTTTTCTCTTGCTGCTAATGAATATGTTGAAAGACTGTCGTGTCTATAAAGATATACCCTTCGCTGTTTAAGGCGGTGCCCATCAAATCAGGTTGTAATAGCTGAATGTCATTATTACATGTAAGATGCAAAGGAATGGAATCGTTTAGAAAGTTTACTGTTCTCTCATAACGTGAGACTCGTCACGTCCAAACGTTAATGGGTCTCTGCCCGCATGTTCAAGAATATTTTAGAACAGATTGTTGTTGACAACCTGAACAAAAATAAGTGAAATTTTATCATGGGTTAAAAATAGGATAAAAATAATATGGCTTAAAAAATTATTTAGAACTATTAAAGAGAAGACTATTATTTAAGAACAATTCAAAGTCGTTTCACTGCTTTTTTTGAGAACCAAATGTTGTTTAGTGCGAAAATCATTGTGAGTCGAAAGAGGTGATCAAAATGAAATCAATAATAAAATATTTATTGAATTCGGTTTCTGTGATATCCCAAGTTATCATGCATAGCTTCGGTAAGTGTTATCTGCCTCGCCTACTGCTCGACTGATAACATTTACCTGGATAATTTCGCATACCATAGAAACCTCATCCATGCAACAAGTGTTTATTAATACTTTGGCCTTCTAGATACATGTTTTTGAAATTCTCCTTTGGTAAATGTATGCATTGCTGGACTCCACGTTTACTATTGTCTTCATTGAAAGTGATATAGAGTCACACCGTAGCTCCTTGCATATTTTGTCGACACGAGCACAATCGCTCCTTCAAGATAAACTATTATTTTCTTTCAGATAATGTATCTAGTGCCATTCCTCTTCTAGTACGATCATTCGGTTACAATTGTTTATCAAGAGGGAATATGTTACCTTTTGCAACATCAGCAGATTATATTGACCTGGGTGGCAGTAACATTATCCCACGGGTATATAGGGAGCCACGTTACGACGTTAGATCAAGGACAGTTGAAGAAGACACTAGATTGGAGTTTCCAAAATTTGTTCGGGAATGCAGGTTGTTCTAGAACTATATTCATGTAGTTCTAGAAGCATTTCCTACCTCAGAGACCAAAAATGATTTTCCACACTCGGCATGACCTTCCTGGCCATTTGGGTAATTTTTCTATTGTCATAATGTTGGGCGGTTGTACGAAGGCCGAGTAACGCTATCCACGCGATGATTTTTCCAAGCATCCTAAAATTCACCGCTGATTAAACCGAATTAAACTTTAGTAGTTATAATTGTCCGTATTCCAGTTTTATAGCTGTTGAAAATATCACTATCCGGTGGACAGCGCTATCCAGCCTTTGTATAACCTGCCCATGATGTTAATGTAACACATTTGTTGTTTGAGTTAAAATTAAATTAATATGAAATTAGAAATGAACACAGTTGTTTCTCAGCACGTTTTTCTGTAGGTTCACAGCAGCATAGTTTTGACGAAACAGTTAGTATAGGTAATCACACGGGAAGGAGTGCAATTAATGATCAACACTACGAGTGATATTTGAAAAATGTGCCAAAATTGCACGAGCCACCGAGGCGAGTGCAATTTGGCACATTTTTCAAATATCACGAGTAGTGTTAATCATTAATTGCACGACTTGCCCGTGTGATTATTTATTTATTATATGCATGACAAAATCCTACATTTCAACTGCAATTTGTCAAGAGTTTTTAATTCTTCTGTAAGCAATTTGGTATAAACAAACTTGGGAAATGATTATAAACTCATAAAGGCACATAACTTAAACTAGAACACAAGATTCAAACTCAAACAACATATTTTAGACTAGGAAAATCTTTATAAATAGTATTTCAAGCTTACATAGTCACGTTTCGCTGCATCCCGCCAAGATTATTTCTTATAGACTGTTTCCAGGTATTTTCCACAGGCTCTTTTTGCCATACAATGTTTCTTAAACTCACTCTTGTGCCAAAATTCAGTTAAATTCGTCCACATTTGTTAGAAATACTTATCTAAATTTCGCCGCCATATTGGATTTTGTTGTTTTGATTTCCCGCTCCCCCCAGCCATCACGAAAATCATTAATTGCACTCCTGGAGAGTGCAATTAATGAAATAATTGCACTCCTCTTAACCAATCAGATTGCAGTAATTTTGTCATGTATATAATAAATTCACAAACTCCTCTGTTTGTTTTTCACATAGTTAGTGTAAACACGTGATTGCTTGAACTTTTAGCACGCAATGTCTTGCCTGTGTCACAGACGTAGTAAATGTAAGGAGTGTGACACAGGCTTGATATTGTGCATTCTTGTTTCTGGTGTTGTGCACTCAGATGAAGATAGATGTTTATGATGTTCTCTCTGAATGTTTGCTTGACCGCGGTGGAAATAGAACCCTCGACCTTTGGTTTGCTAGTCCAATGCTCTGCTAACTAAGCTACGAGCCGTCAAGTCGGTTCGAGTGCGAGATATATCGAAACTCAGTCTATTATCTCATACCTAGGGCATTAGCGGCTCTCCTAGCTATTGATTGCGAGCAGGGGCCGCGGGACCGGGGGAGGCAATGGGAGCATGTTCCCCCTCCCACTTTTTTAAAAGTGAAAAAAGTGCCCTTTTTCTGGGCTAAAGTGCCCCATTTAAAGAACGAAAAAAGTATTTATTGAATGAACGCCATCTTTTGCTGGAAATAAAGCGCCCTTTCTACAGTAGTAAAGACTCTGTAAAGGCCAATTTCGATGTTATAAAACTCCATATTTTCAAATATTTCATTCGGCTCGTGAACGACATAAAATCGTTTGATTTTGGTCATATACCAAAGTGCCCCTTTTGGCAAATGCCACTCCACTTTCAAAATGCTTCCACGGCCTCCGGCTGCGAAGAGGTGCGTTCAATCTCTTATCCCATACCTGTGTTAAAAGCGGCTTTCTGATTGGTTTAGAGCAGGTGAGCTTGTCGTCGAGCTCACCTGCTTTTTGCCGAACTCACCTGCTTTTCGCCCGAGCTCACCCGCTAAACTGCTCACGTTGCAATAACAAT